ACCCACCCCCAGGCAAGAGTCGGGTTTCCTCCATCCTGTGCCTGGTTCTCTGGCCTCATGGCAAGGTGTCAGCTGACACCATCAGCAAGTGGCTTTGTCAGAATGTACTGAAATGACTCCATCCTGGTGCAGAGAAGACTAACGGGAAGTCAGAGAACTCAGATACAGTCCCTCCAGGGGCAAAGGTGCTGCTGCTGCTACTTCTCTGCGGGGGCCTGGTAGGCGGCAACTTGTATCAGCAGACTCCCCCTCAACCCAGGGCAGCTGGGGGAGGAGAGGGCGATGCCTGGGCATCTTGCTCTGGGAGGGAAATGGACAATCAAAAACAAATCAAGGCACGTCATGCACCCAAGGGGGTGGGGGTGGCGTGCAAAGCCCTTGACCATCTTGACAACAAAGGTAGCTCCATTTTGAGAGCAATTATTCCTGCTTGAAATTAGCTGTTCCCACAAAGTACTGATTGCAAACCAAACAAATCATTAGCTCAAGTGAGGCAGCCATAAGCTTTATAAAGCAAAGAATGACCCTTTCTTCAGAAAGCGTGATTGCCACTTGCCCACGAGCCAGTACACGGGGACGCACCACCGTGCCCACTCACCGCCCTACTCAGCGCTACGCGCTTACAGGCCACCTGGGACCCCTCCTCCTGCTGGCTGCCCTGCTTGAAACCTGAACCCAGCTTGTTCCTGAGGCCAGGACCAGGAAGCCTTCAGCAGATCCTGCCACGTGATACTAAGAACACGTGTTACTGTGCACACAAACCTCTCCAGCTCTCCCCATGACAATCAACATCACATCTCCTCTGTGTCTGATGATGACTCTCAGAGACACGGGCTCCAGCAGAGAGAATGAGGCTGGTACACAGGCCCCAGAAGCTGACTCACTCCAGGTGACGTGCAGTCAGAGCTCCTGGGGCCCTGAAGTCCTGCCAAGGGAAGAAAGGCCGTGGGGAACCAGACACACATCTGCCTCCTTGGCTCAGATCCTTAGCAAACTGTGCCCTAAGCTTAAACAAGGATCCAGCAATATTTCTGTCTCCCACAGCTTCCGAGAACTTGCCCTTTCTCTTACAGGGTGGTTTGCAAATAATTCTCCTGCGCAACCTCAAAGGAAATAATCAGGGGCTTTAAAATAAAAAAATTAAAAATTAAAAAAGCTGGTTTCATTCATCACATTGTTAGTGAACATCTTAGAGGATGCCTGCAATTCCACCCACACTGGAACTGTCATGCAGAAAGGTGAGGCCACATGCTGTTTTGGGTCCAAAATGAAGGGAGTGCATGGATAGAATGGTGGGACTATTCAACAGGTCAGCTCTGTTGTATTCGCAACATCAATACAAATATGTTGACATCTGCAAAGCACCTGACAGCAGGCACTGCAAGAAATGGGGGTTTGGAGAGCCAGGCTTTGATGGAGTTTTAAGACAGAAAGCCGCCTTCCCTTTAGGGGTCAAGGTTTGTTGATTCTGCTACTCTGATGTAAAAAGCGCTAACAGTCACTGGCTCTAAGTCTGTTCTCCACAAACAGGTCCATGTGCCCTCTGTGTTCTCACCCTCCCACTCACAGAGCTCTGCTTCTGTCCTGGGGGCCCCTGCATGCCCACACGCTCTGGTCCCTATGGATTTCTGCTTGTAAAGCAATGACAACTGTCTCGAGGTGATCAAGGGTGGCAGAACAGTGTTTCTCCATCTCAGAAGAAAACTGAAAATGAGAAATGGTTTTATAATGCTGAGAAAGATCATAAGACTTGAGCAAGAAGGTTCTTGAAATACCCCATCCTCCAGAGATCTTTGCAAATGAGCCAAGCCAGCCATAAAAATGTACGCTAACTCGAAGATAAAATGGAATTAAAGTGTGTTTGAAAGAGAAGCAGGCTTTGGAATAATGAGGTTTTTAATAAAAACAAAAATTATGACTCAATATTTCTACCACATGAACACCCCAGGGCTACAGAAAGCAAGTGACTCATTGTGCCTATTAGCAAACGTGGGTAAGGACAAGTGAATCTCATGAACAGCAAAAAGCGAACGTGGCTGGGGTTTAGAAACAACTCCTTGGTAGCTTAGCAGTGACCTCTGCCCCAAATCATGGGCCCTACGGACACCCTTAAGATATCTACCACTGCCCTTGAAATTTTACATATAAATTGTATGTCTGGGCATTTGTCTGGAGAGAAGGAGTCCATGCTGACCTTGGATTCTTAGAAGAGTGTCTACCCCTGGGCTGACCTCAGGGCCTGTCAAGTACTGAAGGGTTTGAGAGCCTGTGAGAGAGAGACTCCTAGGGCAGGAAGCTAATCAGTCACAGCATCTGCAGATGCACCCCACCTTTAACCACACCTCTACTTCTAATCCAGTAGGGGGCAGCACGTATATGAGACTATGGTGAGGCCCAGACCAGAAACAAAATTGTGACTTGTGTTCAACAGTCTTCTCCAGGGGGACACCAGTGTAAGGGACACACTGAGCTATGCTTTCATCTCTCCTCTTTAACAAAAATCTAATTCTTCAATACAAATGTAAATTACAGGTAAGACTGATATTCCAACCTACTTTATTCAACATACATAGGTAATGTAAGTACATTTTGGGTGAGTTCCAGGAAAAACCAAGAAACACTTATCTTCCAAGTTCATTTGCCTACCGCAGGCCTCACTCCACACCAAGCTCTCAAAATCTACTCC